CAGAGTATCAGCAATGCATGCTGGTCCACACCTGGAATCCCAGCACTGAAGAGATAGAGGTAGGAGTACAGGAAATTTAAGATTTTCTTCAGCTACACCAAGAAAAAATTCTAGGTCAGCTTGGGTTACAGGAGACCCTTTCTCAAACAGACAGACAGATAGAAGATAGACAGACAGACAAACCAGCTAAACCTGGTGATACACTCCTTTAATCCCAGCACTTTAAGGAGCAAAGGCAGAAGAATCTCTATGAGTTCCAGGCCAGCCAGGGTTACATCAAAAAAAAAAAAAAAAAAAAAAAAAAAAAAAAAAAAAAAAAAAAAAAACAAAAAAAAAAAAAAAAAAAAAAAAAAAAAAAAAAAAAAAAAAAAAAAACAACAACAACAACAAACAAAACAGTAAAAACAACAAAAAACCTAACCACATAAAGTCAAGCATAATGTTCTATGCTTGTAATTCCTGTATTTGGAAGATGGAAGATCAGGAGTTCAAAATCAGTCTTGGTTATACAACCCAGCTTGGCATACACAAGACCCTATCTCAAAACAAAACAAACTCATACAAGAGAATATTAAACTATTCTTCCATGTAAACAGTAAAATGTTAAACACTGACTCAATCACTCATTATAATCCTCACTGTATCTACAGTCTACAGAAAAAAAAAAACTAGTCTACTGTATGAAAACATGAATTAGCAGCAGCAATCAAATTCTTTTATGATACCTAATAAGTTAGCTGTACAAATATTACAGAAAATCCTAAAAAGCAACTTCCCTTTTTACATCTTGACTTTAAATAGCCAATCATACTTGTATGACTATTGAATCAAAACAAAATAACACCAGTATTTATACAAAGAAAAGAGCTAAGTGTTGTTATAAAGATCTTCCAAGGAACCTAGATTAGATTTCCAGTACCGACATGATGGCTCACAACCATTTGAAATTGCAGTAACAGAGGAATCTCATACCAACTTATGGCTTCTAAAAACACATATATATGGTGCGCAAATATACACAAAAACATCCACATATATAAAATAAATGTTAAAAACATTATAAAGACTAAAATAAGAATATCTAAAACCAAATACTTCAACACATGTCAGTTTTTATTTTAAAAACATTTCTTTTCTTTTTTTTTTTTTTTTTAAAGATTTACTTAGTCCTTACATATACAGCATTCAGTCTGAAGGCCAAAAGAGGGCACCAGATCTCATTATAGATGATTGTGAGCCACCATGTGGTGGTTGGGAATTGAACTCAGGACCTTTGGAAGAACAGCCAGTGCTCTTAACCTCTGAGCCACCTCTCCAGCCCCTCATGTCAGTTTTTAAAAAGGATTTTATTATTTTAAATCATTTGTGTATGTGTGAGTATGTGCATGTGAGTGCAGATGTCCTCAGAGGCCAAAGGTGTGAGATCTCTCTGGAGCTGGAGTTACAAGCAGTTGTGTGTTGCCTGACATGTGTATTAACCCATTTACAAGATGAACAAAAGCCTTGAGTGAAAATAAAAACTGAGCTGGGCATGGTGTTACAGGTCTGTAATCCCACATAAGGGAAAATGAGACAGAAGATTATAAATTCAAGGCCAGCCTTGACTACACATAAGACTACCTCAAAAATAAAAAATACTGGGACATTAGAAGAGAATTGATGAAAGACATAGTAAATGATATTGAATATATAATCAGTGATAGACAAAGTAAAAATAAGGTAAATTACAGCCAAAAGCTGTATCTAAGGAAAATATCCTCAAGTTTACACATAAAAAAAACCCGTGTAGTAGGAGTAGCTAAGGTAGTTCAAGAATAGCCTGGGCTACATAAGAAACTTTCTCTTTAAAAAAAAAAAAAAAAGTATATTCAATATTTGATAAGACTATATAAAGTAAATTTCTTACAAAAATACATTACAAAGCAGAGGTATTTCTTCTCTTTAGAAACAGCAGTAGATAAGGTACTACACATAACATAGCATCCATTTCTTCTGGTGACCCTCATTTAGGACTAGAAAGACAGCTCAGCAGTTATGAGGACCCACAATGGGGGACTCACAACTCTCTAGAACCAGTGGGAGATGGAGACAAAAGGATTGCCAGGGCTCATTGGCCACCAGCATAACTTTGAGTTCAGTGAAAGATCGTGTCTTCAAGGGAATAAGGCAGACAGTGATAAAGTAGAAAACACTGCTCTTCCTTCTCTGTCCTGTGTGCACCTGGACACACACACACACTAAAGCACACACACAAAAACTTTGAGTGTATTAAAGCTTATGTGTTGTGGAACACTCTCAAATAAACAAACTGAAACTGAAAGCTAGGCACGTGTAGTAAGACATGCCTATAATTCCAGCATTTGAGAAGAAGTAGGAGGATCACACGAGATGGTTCCAAGTAAGAGTCCAAGGTCATTCTCTAGTACACTGTGAGAGCAGGACAGCTAGGAATACACAGTATGGTAAGACTTTATCCAAATAAATAAGAACAGGAGAGAGTTCAGTAGGTAATGTAATTGCTTTGCAAGTATTAGGATCTGAGTTTGATTCCCAGAAGCTACGTAAAAATGCTGGGAGTGGTGATACAGGCTTGTAATCTCTGCACCGGGAGGCAGAGACCTCTCCATATTAGCATCAAAGTTGGTGTGGTCTGCCTGCCTCTACTTCCTCTTAAAGTACTGGGTCACAAAGACTCTATTTACTGGGATATATGGTCAGTTTGAAGCTAGACACTAAGGAAATACAAAAAACAAACAAACAAACAAACAAAAAACCTCTATAGAAAAAAACAAAACAAAACCTCTATGTAGACCAGGCTGGCCTTGAACAGAGCTCTCCATCTACCTCTGCTTCCCAAATACTGGGATTCAAGGTATATGCCACCATGTTCAGCCGCCTCAAATAACTTTTCAAAAATCTTTTCACTGTACGGAAATGCCAATTTGCTCTTACTGTTCTCAAACCTTCAGATAAATGTAGAACCAAAGTAGGCCAAAATTACCAAGATCTGCTATGAAACTGACCTATAGGCCAAAGAACCAAAACAATGCTAATTATCATGAAAAAACAGTGAGTACTGATTCAAAACCTAAGTGGGATTTACTCATTAAAATTCCACAACTGTATTAAATAAAATAGTTGGGTATGGTGTCTCACATCAGTAACCCCAGTGCTCTCAGAGGCTGAAGTGGTAAGAACACTTCCATTTTGAAGTCAGCCTGAGCTACACAGTGAGTTCTAGGCTAGCCTGTGATACATAGTGAAATACTGTCTCAATAAAATACAAAGATAAAGTTTACTTTTTTTTAATATGAATTTCACTATAATGTGAAACAAACATTCTTAAGAAAATGAGCACTGAATACGGTGGCACACGCTTCCAATCCCAGCACTTGGAGAAGGCAGGAGACCACTCTGAACTAGAGTTCTCTATGAAAGAAATCATAAAAAGAGAGAGAGAGAAAGAGAATAAGAGAGAGGAAAAAAGGAAGGAAAGAAGGAAGGAAGGAAGGAAAAAGAGGAAGAAAACCTAGAACATTTTAAAGTCGGCTTCTGGTAAAAATAAAATTGTTCATGTTTACTTTTGGGAATTCCAATTACAAATCAAGTAACAATTTTTTTTTCCTAAAAAGTCACTCACACAAGTTGTTTTTATTTTTTCAATCTCTGTAATCTAAGTATAATCCAATACCATACTGTCCATAAACCCCACTTTTTCTGTTTGTTTTCAGTTTGCCTAGTAATGATTATTTGGGCTATCCATCTCTTTCATTTATTTCCTAACTTCCTTCAGGAATCTGAGACTTTTAGGATCAAAATAACAGTATCCAACGAAGTAACCCACTAGTACCTTGAATATAAGTCTGGCTCAAATAGTGCTAATAGAACTGAAAAGAAACACAGCCAACACTTAACTCTTGTAACTATTTATTACACTGAAAAAGACCTATAAAGGCTGAAAGGAACTAATAAAATAGGTATTGTACCACCTAGACGTTCAGCTTACCAAAAAAAAAAAAAATCTTTTAATGCAACTCTGGGGAAAAAAGTCTATTAGACTTTCCTTAGTGTCTAGCTTAAAATATATCCCAGTAAATAGGGTCTTTAGCAGCATTTGTAACTCAACGTTTGTTTGTAAACCAGTAACTCACTGGAAAGAATACATAGGGGTTCTCTTGCATATGTAATAGGGAAACTGAACTTAATGAACCACACTATTCCTAACCAGGTCACAAGAGAGAGTTAGGTCCCCAGTCATCATCCTGTTTCTATTTCCTGACTGGTTTGACCTGCAAGTATTATGGTGCCCGGCTTTCCCAACTTAAGATCTTTAAAATATCTTCTGAGAAAAGCTTTTTCTTAAAACAAAAGTTAACTTCTAGAACATTCTAGAGGGAATTATGAAAAAAAAAAAAAAAAACACAAAAAACTACCTTGCTTTGTTAAAAACAAAAAACTCCAGAAACACTTTGCTCAAAAAAACAAACAAACAAAAACAGTTTTCAGAAAAGTCCGTTAGAGTACACTTGAGATTAGGTGTGGAATTTGCCCAATTGGACGCTAACTTGAACGTGTTACTCTCCAAAATGTAGATTTTTAAAAATACAAACGGATTTTTAAAGGGTCCTACACTACACGAGTACGCGTCTTTCACGTGAAGACTTCCACAAACAACCCAAAATCGGCTAAGTGCGCTGACTTCTCGAGGACGCTCCTCGGCACCGCGCTGGCACCGCGCTGGCACAGCAGCGACAACCAGAAACCCTCCTGGGGCTCTGGCCCCAACCCTCAGCCTCCAAACCCCGGGCGCCCGGCCGCCACCGGCCTCTCGGAGTCGAGTTCCCTGACTAGTTCGTTCCCAGCCAAGCCGCTTCCACGTCGCCTGCAACCACACGCCTCCTCCTCAGATTAAACCCGGCTTCACTCAGCACACGCACGCCCCGGGGGGACCGGGGGGAAGGCGAGCTGGCTCGGGGGCGCGGGGAGGGCCCGGCACCCACCTGCAGGCCGCGAGACCTGGGACACCGGCGCCGGTGCCCCGTCCTCGCCAAAGACGAGTTTGAAGTCGAGCTCGTCGTGGGCGCCACAGTTTGCAGTAGTCATCGGCGTGGCCCGGGGTGCAGCGGCTCCTCCTCAGGCGGCCGCGGCGGCTCCTCAGCGCCGCTTCATGCTGGGCCGCGCCGGCCGGGAGGTCGCGGTTTCACTGCAAACTTTCCGGGCGGCGCCCGCGAAGCCAAGCGTTCCGTTCCGACCTAGAAAGCTGGCCGATCGCCCCGCCACGCCAGGAGCCGCCACCGCCGCCAGTCGAGGGTGCCTAACAGCCGCGGTCGTCTCGACCGAGGCTCCCCGCCCCCCCCACCCCCACGGTCGCGCCGCCGGCGCGCTCCCGCGCCCTGCGGCGCGCCCAGCCCCGCCCCCCGCCGCGCTCCCATCCGCCCGGGCGGCCCATAGGCCGCGGGCTCCGCTGACAGTCATGGGCCCCGCCTCCTCGCCGGCCTATCGCGTGAATCCTTTGCAAGGAGGAAGTCAGGTGACGGGGAGCTAGCGCGCCCTGCTCCCTCTCGGGAGTTGTAGTTAAAGTCTAGTTCTTCCGCAGTCTGTAAACCGAGATCAGTGCAGGGCCAATAACGCAGTCTGATTAGATTGGGAACCCCGTTGGGTGGAGCTCACGTCGGGAAGTGGGTAACAGAGCGCTAGGGTATGGGTATCAGGATGTTTGGCCCCACGGAGGTACTTTTCTCTTACGCCCGAGTTTAGAGAGGATATGTCAGACTACCCCGATTCCCTGTGCACCACTCACCCCCGAATCCCTCCATACCAACTTCAATGGCGGAATCTCGAGATGGTCAGGGATTGGTTCGAGCTTCTCCGTACGTTGGGGTGGAGCTGAAGGAAACCTTGTGAGACGAGTCTGGAGTCGATTCTGGTCCACCCCTGCAGCGTGGTGCCCCGCCTCAGTAGCTGTGCCTTTGTCTCCAACTAGCCGGCGCAGATAGCTACTATCTGAGGACCCTCGTGCATTCTAGGTCCCACTTAAATCAGAGAAGCCAGGTCTGGTCCCAGATGGAAGTTGGGCAGACAGAGAGGAAAGGCTCTTTCTTGACTTCTGCATCCCAGTACACAAGCATGAAATTGAGAGGTATTGTGAAACCGGAGCCAAAGGCAGCGTATAGGAAGTGACACTGTCAAAAGAACCCGTTTACAATCTTGGCTCCATTTCAAACAGCCTGCCTTTCCCCGGTGAGACATGAGATGGCCCAAGACACCATCCCTTGGAGTCTGGGGACTCACTCTTGTTTACTTAGGGCATGATTACGAGAGGGAGTTGGGAGAAGCCAGTGACCACCTCCCCCACAACAGCACTTCTTACACTAGTCACAAAAGCCCCTGGAAGCATGAAGCAAACTCAAGCTCCTTGCAAAGAACTCTGTATCTCAGTGATTCCTGGGGTACTAAGTGAGCCCTAGGGTGTGCCCAACTAAGCCTAGGGTCAGAAAAGCAAGGAATATTCTGAGTGAGCCATTCATCTTGGACTGGCTCATTCCTGCTCAAGGCTTTACGCCAGTACTTACGCCGAACCTGGAGATAGAACGATAGTCTCTCTTAAGAGTTGGAGAGAGAAATAGCAAATATATAATTACTGTGCAACGAGATTAGAGCTGTGATAGGAGCTCTGAGGACATTCAACACCCACCCACACACTACAGAGCCTCGACAGGATTCATAGGAACTGGAGACAAAAGATGAGCCAAGTTTGTTCCAGAGAGGGAACAGTGGGCAGAAGCCAAAGGTGATTGTGGATGGATGGGCAGAGTGCAATAGGTCACTGTGTGATTCTTGGACTTTATCCTGAGGATGGTAGGCAACCATACTAGGGTTTAAAGCAAGAGGCTAAAAGAGTGACTTCTATAGAGAACACTTGACTCAGGATATTAAAAGCAGCAATCAAGCAGTAATCAAGGAAGAGGAGGCAGTCAGGCTTGATGGCACAAGCCTCTAATCCCAGCACTTGCAAGGTGGACAAAAAGTGTAAGAAGCTCAAGTGAGTTTGAGGGCAGCGGGGGGGAGGGGGGATGAGATCCCATCTCAGTCTCAAAACAAACAAAAATGGAGGAGTTAATGTGTTAGGTGGATAAAAAAAAAACTTCTCATCCTGCCTTTAAAGGGGCTAACTAATAAGCTTGAATATGAAACTAAAACACCAAATGCTATGTCAGCTCTGCAGCCTTTTGCCGGAGACAGGCTTACCAACTAGATTGCATGATCTCCCCAGTTATACTTCACCTAAATCTGGTGAATTGGGCTAAACTGGAGGCAGCAGAGTGAGAGAGAAAGAGAGAGAAAGGGAGAGGGAGAGAGTGCGCACTTGCTGTTCCAGAGGATGTGGATTTGTTTCCTAGCACTGACATGGCGGCTCACAGTGATCTGTAACTTTCAGGGAACCTGATGCCACCTCCTGGCTCGACAGGCACACTTGTAGTACACATATATACAAGCAGGCAAAACACTCATGCACATAAAGTCAAAATAAATAAATCCTATAAAAAACAGTTATGTGGCCAGGGAGGCAGAATGTAGACCCTGGCCTGCCAATTCCTACACTTCATAAGGGACCATAGAGAAGCTATGAATGGTTAGAAAAAGTCACCCTTATTGAATGCTCAGCAATAGAACTTTTTCCCAGACATTGAGTACCTGAGAATATCTAGAAAGGGGTCATGTTGTAGGAAAGGCTTCTGGCTTTGGGTAAACTAACATTCTAACATAGAGTGATAAAGGCTCATCAGAGGTAAGAACTGGTTGCAAGAAACGAGCTACTGTCTGTAAGAAAGGCAGCATGAACCCTGTTGGGCAGGGGTAGAGGTGGGGGTAAAGGAGAGATGGAGAGAGAGAGCACATGAAAGAGTGGCTAGGATCCTGTAGGCCATGAAGATTCCCCCCAACACACACACAGATACTCCCCTCCTCCAGTAAGCATACTCTTCACTGCGTCCCCTCTGATTTCCCCCCAGTGCCATTGCTCATCATCTGTTCTGTCTACAGATCTCTCAGGGAGCCTGGAGGACCAGAACAGTAGAACCCCAGTGTAGACAGAGACGGAGGCCCTTTCCCCTCCCGTGTAAATTATGGCCCAGGCCTAAGAATCAAGAGAAACGTTTTTCTTTCATCTGTTGCCATAGGTGTGGTCTTGGGACTCTATTGCTGAGGCTTCTTTTATGCCTCAGAGCCATAGGATGGTCGGTCAGCATAGCCCAGCCTGGTCCCTTCTTTCATACTAGGGAAAACCTGGAACCTTCAAGTTTAGAAATTCTTCCTCTTGTGCCATATACCCCTCCTACTCAAACTCCAGACTCTTAGTTTGCTGTGCCCGATCTTTACCTCCATGCCAATGCTGGCCATAGAACAAAGGATTGCCCCTGAGTAGCTTCCAGTTTGGATGAATAGACCAGGTAACCTGGTTAGCTGCTAAAGTCTCGGAGTACTGAGAAGCCAGGCCATCACTTTGTCTCCTCCTGCTGGACTAAGGGTTTGAACTTGGTCCAGAGAGCAGTCTCCAAGACCAGAATCCTAAAAGGAGCAGCACCTGGGAGAGCTTAAGCCTGTGGGAGTTAAGGCCAAAGATTCCCCCTTATCTTTCTCCAAATCAAGCTTCTTTCTGTATCTCTGTAATCCCCACCAACCTATCCAACTTTACTCATCCTCCTTCTCATGGATGTATCAAAAGCATTTATTCTAGGCAAAGTGTGGTGGTACACATTTGTAATCATAGCACATGGAGGTAGCTGCAAGAGGATTCCCTTCACATTGGAAGCCAGCCTGATTTTACATAGCAAGTTTCAGGCCATCCAAGGTTACATAAAAACAAAATAAAACAAACAAACAAACAAAAACCTATCACAGAATAAAAAACAAAAATATCTGTCACTAGGGATATAGGTCAGGTACTAGAGCAGTTGGCTGGCCTTCACAAACCTCTGGATTCAATCACCAGCACAACATAAAACTGGAAGTAAAAATAAATGTTAAAAAGAAAATTCTGCCAGGCAGTGGTGGTGCATGCCTTTGATCCCAGCACTTGGGAGGCAGGGGCAGGTGGATCTTTGTGAGTTTGAGGCCAGCCTGGTCTACAGAGTTCCAGGACAGGCAGAGAAACTCTGTCTCAAAAATAGTAAATAATAAATAAAAGAAAAATCTGTTAAAGGAGCTAACAAAATGGTACTTGTCACACAAGCCTGATGACCTGAGTTTGTTCCCTGGAAAACACATAAAGATGGAAAGAAAGAAATGATTTCATGAAGTCATCCCCTGATAGCCACATGCACTCCCCCACACAGAGTAATAAATAATAAATAAACAATAAACACATACAAAAAAATACAGTTCAAGGCTAACTTGTACTGCACAAGATACTGTCTCAAAACAAAAGGAAACAACACAACAACAACAAAAAGACCCTCAATAATGTGACAGGCTAAGAAGGATGCTTCAATCAAGGACATAAATGGTTGGCTACTACCACTACTCCTAGAAGGGGTTGAGAACTCTTAAAGTGAATTATTCTGAGGCTAGACATGGTGAGACAGTACCTTCAGGCTTGACAGGGCCTCTCAGTCAGTCCCAGATCTTGGGCAGGTCACTGAGTTCAAAGCAGACATCACTGAACTATGCTATTGCTAATGAACAAATTGTTTGAGGATGAGACAACACAATTGCCCAGAATCTTTGCCAGCGTGCCCCATTATTGTACACATACTAACCAGTCCCTCCTTGCTGGCTACAAACCTCTCTCCCCAGAGCTCCTCCCACCCTCCTGAATACAGCCTGCTTCCTGTGGCAGCCTTGCCAGGGAAGGGGTTTCCCCAGGAAAACTACTCTAGTGGGAAAAGATGCTTGAAATCAATGCCCTGGGCTACTTAAACTACACTTGATGCTCTGTCCCCAAAATCCTCTTCCGCATGCCTGGAAGGAAGGGATCCTCTGGGGCCCCTGGTCTTCCTACTTCCAGTCTAAGTATGAGAAAAGGTAAAGGGAAAATTTTAAAACAGGTTTAGTAGAAACAAACAAAACCAGATGCAAACTTTCTAAATCTGGATGGCTGAGATCAGATCAAGACTATCCTTAGTGGACCCCTACCCTGACAGGACTGGAGCAAAAAGGTAATAAAGTAGTCTCTCAGCAAGCAGAAACACAGAGCCACATAGTACCTCATCACAAACCAGTCTCATACATGCAGAGGACAATTGATGACTGGAAGTGAGTTACCCAAGGTCAAAAGGTCAGAGGCTCTGTGAGGCCTCTGGGAGTATGGTATCTTTAACTGAACAAAGAAGAGCTAGTACGAGTATAGATGGAATAAGGCAAAGTGTACTCCACTAAGCCTTTGATTCAGAGACAGGCAGGGGCTGCAGGCTGACACAGGGCCTGACCCTGGACCAGCCTGCCAAAAAGCCATGAGGCTGTCCCAGGGGACAGGGAAAGACAGGTTTGGTCTAGAGGGGAATCGTGCGCCCATATAGCCTGGCAAAAGGAAGCTCACACAGCCTGTTTACAGCAGAGGAAATGGGGGTGGGGCAAAACAGAGCCCTTTGGTCAGGCCACCCCTCCCGGCAGAGGAGTGGGGAGGCCCCAATAAATGTGTGGGAGCTGTTTGTTTGCATCTCACAGCCAGGAGGAAATTAAAGAGAATCTACCACTTCCTTCCACCTCAGGTGGGATTGGGGTGGGGAAAGTGACAGTGTGATCTGTGACTGCTGCATTAGACAAAAGCCAAATTGCTGCCATCAGCAGCCTACAGGTGTCCCTGTCCTGAGCAGGCACTTCATCAGGTCTGAGTTAAAGTCAGTTGTAAGGTATAAAGGAGACTCGGGCCCTTACCCCACTCCACTAGACTGGCCCTTTAATGTGATATCAGACCCCCTTGTTTTTTTCCCTGAGATTACACAGAACCTCTCATCAGGAGAGTCAACCAATGATTAACACCTCAGGTTTCCCATCATTAAAACGGTTTCTTGGTCCTTTCCTGCCTTCACCAAAATCCAGGGGACCCCAAAGGTCCACTTATTCCCTACACGATCGAGACATGCTTTGGGAAGCTCCAGCTCTGCACAGAGGGTAGAAGACATAAATCCAAGGTTGAAGCAGCTGGCTTTGGGTGAGAGTCCAGGTGTCTTTATTGCACGAACCAATGTCAAGTTAGAGGTGAGGCCTGAAAACCTTGTTGTCAAAACATTCAGGTCGCTGGGAACTTGGCTTAGCCATTCAGATCTATGAGAGATAGTATGACCCCTGGACATTCCTTGGCACTTGTTTCAGGCTGATGGCCTGGGCCAAGACCTCTAACTTCTGCAGGTCAAGGGCCGGCAAACTGTCCACTGGCATCCTGTTTAGGTCCCAGCACCTATAACCACCTTCCTATCAGTCCCACACAGGCGACCAGGGTAGGAGTCAGCAGCCTTCCAGGAGCTTCTCTTCACTACTTCCCAAGGTTACAAATGGCTTCTTGCATATTTCCTCAGCTAGTGCTGGCTTCTGAACTCTTGGGCCCCCAGGGTCTTGATCAGGAGCCTCTCGTTTGCGTTTGTTCAAGGAGGGACTCTCCTCACCGAGCCGACCCTCAGGGAGGCCCTGGCTCCGCAGACAGACAATGGCTGCAGTCTGCTCTGCCAGTTTCTTGGACTTGTCCCTGGTAAATGAAGCTAAGATTAATAAAGTATCCCTCTTCTGGCAGGTGTAAATGCAGAGAGAACACTCATATACGTAAAATAAAGAAATTTAAAAAAATTAATAAAGCAAGCAAACAGCAGGTATACAGCTTTGAAGCCCTACCTCTACACATCCTTTGAAGAGATTCTGATAAACCTGCTAAGAGGGTTGGTCATTCATCATCAGGACCCCCACACACAATGTACCCAACTCTCCCAGACCAAAAGTAGACTTGGAACCTGACACCATCAGTCTCAGAACATCTGATGAGACACTTACCACAAGGTGGACTGGTACTTTTTTTCTGCAACAGTGACAACAGAGCAGAACATGCGATCTATAGGTCGTTGAACCTGGTGCAGAGAGAAGAAAGGAAACAGGGTAGACTGCCCACCTGTTTCATCACAGAATGAACACATAAATAAAAGGGAAGTACTTCTTTCCCCTGCACCCTTGCTTTTGTTGTTTGTTTGTTTGTTTGTTTGTTTGTTTGTTTTTGAGACAGGGTTTCTTCATGTAGCTCTGGCTGTCCTGGAAATTGCTCTGTAGCCCAGGCTGGCCTTTAACTCAGAGATGCACCTGCCTTTGCCTCCCAAGTGCTAGGATTAAAGGCCTATTACAGAACCACCAGGGCTAGTACTTCTAACTTAAGTCAAATGAAGGCTGCCTGACCACATGCTCCGCCCATGTGAAAGTACCTGCTGCAGCTTTCAGGGAAAAAGGCAGTTATGCAAATTGACAATGATATCAAGTGTGTCAGAGTTCTGTCAATGCACTAAACAAAGGGCCCTTATCTGCACCTGTCTCTGGGGCCTCTGCCTACTAACATCTATGTGGGACAGTTCCCAGCAGAAAGGGGCTCACCAGATGGCAAAAGACTGAGAAGGGACAAGGGTGAGGGCAAAAAAGGTACAGATGTATGGGCAGAGGAGTCAAGGAATGTGGCTGGAGTAGAAAGCTGAGTGGAAGAGATGAAAAAGCAAGGTAGGTGGGGGGGTCTTGTGTTCTGAGGAGTTGGTACTTTGAACAAAGGAGACAGAGGTTAGATTTGTTTTCCAAAAGTCACTCTGAAAAAGGGGAAGTGTAACACTGGAGGCCAGAAGGCCAGTAAGAAAGACAGAGCAGTCACAGGGACCAAAGGAAGTAAAGCAAGATTATCTCAAGGTTTCTACCCCAGGGTCCCTATGTATGGGCATAATTCTGTGCCCCACTGGCTGAAGCCCAATCCAAAGATATATCTGCCAGAATTGGGTGATACACCCAAGGTTGGAGGTAAGAAGCTATCAGCAACTGGCCCTACTACCAACATCATATGTACATCTATGGAAAGGAAGTTCAGGTGCTAACCAGGCAGCCTGAATCTGAGGATAGAGGCTGGAGGTGGACCAGGGTGATGACAGCAGTGCAGGAAACACTGTGGCTGGATGCTAGACAGGCAACAGCCAGAAAAACTCACTGTTTCATACACAGGCTGAGGCAACTTCTCTCTCCGACACCATTCCAGCAGGCACATCTTGGGGGTAATTTGGGGTGGGTATGCTCTCCTAGGGAAAGGAAAAAAGAATAGTTAAGGCCCACTCACCATTTCTACTTTAGCCCTTAGCAATAGCCACCAATCAGCCACTGATAGCTGCTCCTGAAGAAACCGAGATATCAGGCTGCTGCCCCAAGGCTCTTGTGTCTACACCCTTCCTGTTCTACCAGCAGTTGCAGGCCAGGTTTTCATCTAAAGGGAAGATGGGCTTCTTCATGTTTGCAATAATAAGGCATGCATATGAGACAACTCCTAGTTCTCTGAGCTGCAGCCTGGAAAACAGCCTTCAATAGCCAGCAAAGAAGGTTCGCTTTACCTTTCAAGACAAGATCTGAGGGAATGGGTGGAGAAAGGAGTGGAGGTGGCTTTATAGTAGACTCAGAGCTCTAGCTTAATACCCACTATGATTCTATCTGCTTGAGTATCAGGGTTATCTGCTCTGCTTTAGACACAATAAACTCTGGCTGCAGAGACAGTCTGTGACAGGGTGAAAAGGACATGATCCAACTTCTACTGGGAGCTCCCTCTAGCATATGACTGCCCAACAGCTGTCCTTTTAACCCCACCTCAAGCCCTTGGCAGATTAAGACCAGCTCTTGATCTGGGTATGGAGACTAAAGAAGGCTCAGACCCGGATGGCAGAGGGCAAGAATGAGGATACCATTCAAAGCTGAGACACAATGTGAGGCAAGAATCAGACTGAGGCTCCTGCCACCTAGGGAGGGCACCCCTGGCCTGGTGAGGGGCAGGGTGTAGGCAGGAGTACAGAACCAAATAAAGGCAAGGCTCCTGCAGCCATTGAAGAGCTTGGGGCAAGCACAGGCTTTGAGCAGCAAAAGACACATATCCCTGTTCCCCTTTGTGGAAAGGAAAAAAAATGGAGTTCAATTCTGTCTGTCTTAGAAAAATATGCTCTGACCAGTGCTGCCTGAGCTTTCAGGGACAGTGTTCCCTGAGAGCACCCTCTCTTTGGGGGCATGAGGATAAGAAGTTCAAGGTCATCAGTAGCTACATAGTAAGTTCAAGGTCAGTCTGTGCTACATGAGACTCTGTCTTAAAAAATACAGTAACAATATCTGTGGCTTATCCCTTGAATCTCAGCACTCTGGAGGCAGAGGGAAGTGGATATGTGTGAGTTCAAGGCTAGTCTGGTCTATATAATGAGTTCTAGGACACCCTGAGCTATGCAGAGAGATCCTGTCTCAGGAAAAAAAAAAAAAAAAAAGCAAAGCAAAACAAAAAAACAAACAAACAAAAAATAGTAACAAAGGTACCTTCTTAGGAAGCTGAAAGCTAAGAACAAGCATCCACACTAAGGTGACCTGTAGTCCCTAAGTTTGACATTATTCACATATAACTACCACTAAAACCCCAAATCAACAAGCCCTGTAATATTCTGGAAACCTACCGGTCAAACCTGATAGCCATCTTAATGATACCAGAGGTGTCTTCAGCTGGATCCTCAAAGGCCTCTGGAGTCTTGGCTAAGAGGTCAGCTCTCCGGGCATCGAGCTCCCGAACGGTCTCCTCATAGAAGACACCCAGGCCAAAGGCCTCACTATAGAGAAAGTGGTGGAGCAGGATAAAAACCTTAATGAAACAGAATCCGGGGTACTACAGGAGCCCATGACCCTACAACCAAGAAACTCCTGAACCACATATAGCAAAACCACCTGAGTCTGACCATCAGAACATAATTCTTACACACCCTAGCATCTGCCTAGACTGTAATGTAGAGAATGGATGTGAACCTTTCAGTATGAACAATGGAGGAAGCTTGGGCTGGGGAGAAAAGGTTCCAGAGGTTACCCCCACCATTCTCTGCTCTCTCCCAAGGATGATGTGACCTATCTGTGTGATCCATCACATAGATGGATGTACTCAACTAGCTCATTCTCTGCTCTTGCACACACAGATGGATGTACCCAACCAGCCAGCATAATAGAGAGGATCTATACTGGGATATACATAGTATCTTCATGTGGGCCTATGAGAGGAAAAGACAAAGGCCTAGGACTGACTGATTCCTCACTATCCATGGTTACCATGGTCCTAATCTGAACCACCCAAAGCTCCATAGTTACATTCTCTTTTGCAATTCACAAAACACTGATACTCAGTTGTTTGACCTATATGGGACAGGATGAGAACCAGCACCACAAGCAAAGGAGGGAAGAAGGCTTCTGGAAGAGCTTTGGCTTCTAGAAAAAACCCTACACATGGATCACTGAAGGCAAGTATGATTCAGAAAGCCTTAGAGGATGGAGGGTACAGGCAGCCAAGGTTAGGAGAAACAACCTTTAAGACAGAGGACCCCAGGGCTAGAGAGATAGCTCAGAGGTTAAGAGCACAGGCTGCTTTTCCAGAGGTCCTTGAGTTCAATTCCCAGCAACCATATAGTGGTTCACAACCATCTGAAACGAAATCTGGTGCCCTCTTCTGGAGTGCACGTGTACATGCAAACACACATTGCATACTAAACAAACAAACAAACAAACAAATAAATAAGTAAATTAGGGGAAAAAAAAAAAGGCAGAGGACCCAAATCTGACTTATAGCGACAGTAGACAGGAAGCTGAAAGAGCTGGGATGAGGTTAAGCTGCCCAAAACCTCCATGTGTCAACCACCTGATCTGAAGCTGTACTAGATCTGAAGCTCCAAGCCTTCTCACCAGTATAATGGATGTTGGCATGTGTCAAGAGCTCCATTCTAAAGTTCACCCCATCTCTCTCTCTTTCTCTTTTGTTTTTTTAAGACAAGGTTTCTTTGTGTAGCCCTAGCTTTCCTGGAACTCACTCTATAAACTAGGTTGGCCTCAAACTCAAAGATCCACCTGCCTCTGCCTCCTAAGTGCTGGGATTAAAGGCATGCACTACCATCACCCAGCAAGCCTTGTCCCTCTTGACCACTCGGGCTTTTCTGTTTGTTTGCTCTTGTTTTTGTTTTTTAGTCTGGCGTGCAAAAGACCCATTAATAGAAAAACTTCTTCCTCAAAAATTCCCAGGCCTATCTTTTGCCTTTCTCTATTATAATAGCACCCTAGCTACTAAAACTGTCGAACAATGGAAGGCTTCAAAGCTGTGAAAGTACCCTTCTACAAAGCAAAACTCCTACACATATACGTTCAGAAGTTGCGTCCCTGGTCGCTCAGCAAAATAAGCTTAGGGATCAAGATCAACCCTGGATCAAGTGTGCAAGAATAGATAGAGACCACCGTACTCTTACCAGATTTCCTGGGAAGACTGGGCAGCATGAAGCAACCTTCCCTGGGGCGACTCCAACTGTTCCCGCAGCATCTGGCACAAGCAGTACTTGGTGTTGGTGTAGTGGTTATCATACTGCACTGCCTGAGAGGAGAACCACCATGAGCTCACTAGCTAGCAGCAAACGCTGAGATCTCAGGTAGCCTCCGGCAGGAAGGAAAGGAACTCTTAAGAGGGAATTAGCCAAGCCCATGTGACCCCACAGAAGAACTACCTACACCCTGCCATCTGTTCCTCCTGCTGTCGTACAAAGGTTAAGGGCCAAACTAAGGCTCATGTTCACCAGTATACCCACCAAGACAGTCTGACTGAGGAATAAAAGTATAAAGAAACACACAGACACCACAAGCTACCACTCAGAACCTAAGGCTGAGTATCTCCAGGGCAGGGAGAAGGAACACACCAGATTTTGGCAGGGCAAACCTAGCCCTAGGACAGGGGTAAGATTTCTATGCATTACAACCAGGATCAACCCTATGTTGACAAACCGCTCTCCAGCTTCCCCTACATGGGTGGAGCACAACCCCATCTATAAGCATGTTCATACACATTACTTATCAACTTGTATATCTATAAAAACACAGGTACAGCTGCTACCTTACTCTATAGCCTGAGAAGTGAAGCCCAGGGAAGCAAGATGACTCCCCAAAAAATAAAACTATGGATGCTCACACAGCTAGAAGCAAGGCAAGAGAGCAGCAGTAGGTAAAGACTTTATAGCCAGGCCTCCAGACCCCTCAGGCACTCAACCCCACCCCCACACTACTGTAGACTCTCCTCTACACCTGTCTTTGGAGCCTAGGAAGATGTCACGGCATGCTCAGGAGAAAGTGTGGAATAAGTGGGTAAGTCCTAGCCAGGGGCAGACCATGATTCAGCCTGCCTGGCGCAGAAAGCACCTGATCACACCAGAAGCATCAATGTTGATGCTTGAGGTTACTCCTTTTCTCCGTGACAACGCGCCCGCATGAAAGCTGCCAAAGGATGGCTGAACAAGAGTGACAGCATCACCTTTCACCTAGTAAGCAGGCTCAGCACTGCTGAACATGTCTTCTTAGCCACATGCTTGCCAGGTGGCCAGAAGAACTGGACAGCTGACCTGGGCTGAGCTAAAGCCCTTTGTCTGTAGCTGACTTAGACAGTTACCAACCTAGCTACCAGGACACCCAGAACCAAGAGGATAAGGGCTGCAGCCCTGAGGAAAGGAGGCTCTAGGACAGAAGCTTCCCAGAACAGGACACATGCCTCCTCCTACTAGCCCATCTTAACATTCATAAAAATACCCTTATGTCAAAGCTTGAGGAGAACACAGATAACCCCAGGCATTGGTGAGACTTGGGGCTGATAAGAAAGGTGGAAACTGCTCTGGAGGAGGGTTGGAACTTCTGCTCAGATCCAACTCACTGAAGAATTTGAGGACAACTCTTTGTTTCTGCCCATGTCCATGTGTAGCCCAGTAGAGACTCCCAGCATCTCAGGGCTATACCCAATGAACTCACTTATTAAAAAAAAAAAAAAAAAAAAAAATGCAACTACCACACTTATAGTGAAAAGAAACTAGTTTAGAAAAGATTGTTCTCACTGGACACAGTGGCGCACACCTGTAATCTCAGTACTCCAGGAGGCAGAGGCAGGCGGATCTCTTTGAGTTCAAGGCCAGCCTGGTCTAAAAAGGGAGTCTGGGTTAGCCAAGGATACACAAAGAAACCCTGTCTTGGAAAAAAAAAAAAAGACTATTTTCAAGTTAGGTGTGGTGGCACATGCCTGTAATCCCAACACTGAGGAGGTAGAGACAGGAGAATAAGGAATTGGCAGTCAGCCTGGGCAGTGAGACTGTATGTCAAAACTAAAAAGTAAAAGAAAGGAAAAGTACAGAGACTTACGTATCTGATATACTTCTGCATGACTTCCTCCAGGGGACGAAGGCCATCCTTGAGGAAGATAGAGGGGTTCCACATGGCTGCTCGAGCCACCATCACTGAAGAAGCAGCTGTGGCTTGTCGAAAGGCCTCTATATCCAAATGCTGCTGGATATGGTCATGGGAACCTCCACTAAAAAGCAACAGGAGGGGGATGGAAGGATTTCATAATGGAACCTACCAGTATTTCCAGACAAGGGTGAGTCCCAGATCTGCCATTCATTATCAGCACGGCTTTAGCTAAGTCCCTTCAACTATCAGAACTTTAATAGTGATTATAGAGCAAACCCCATTGTTTAGTGAGGAGACAGCCTAAACCATGTCTGTCATAGAAGGGGTATCTTAGAAATTTGACTTTTCTTCTCTACTACCTAAAACATGGCCAAGGGCAAAGAATATTTGAAGGTACAGAACTGAGCCATGAGCTGACCCAATGACATACACCTATAATCCCAGCACCCAGGAGGTTAGGGCACAAGGAGCATATGTTCAAAGCAAGCCTGGGTTACATAGCCAGTTCTAGACCAGCATGGGGCTACACAGTAAAACCCTGCCTAAAACATAAAACAAAACAGTGGAATTGGGGCCACAGGAAAAACTCCAATCTGAGAAGCTGTGCACAGACCCTGTAAGGACTAAGTCAAAATCCTAGACTACAGGAAGGACACACTCACTGATGATCATAGTGGAAAATAAGGGGACCCGGCCTGGTCAATTCCCTTCCTTCTACCCTGCTGCTCTAAGAACCTTCTCTATTCCCAATTATTTCATCCACAGTCAAGGAGCAGACTCAGTCCAGAGACACCTATGCTGGGAGGACCCTGAGGTGACAGGCTGGCTTTAAACTCACAGGTATCTGCCAGCCTCTGCTTTCCAAGTGTTGAAATTAAAGATGTGCTCCACCATGCCCAGCATCCATCCATCCATTCATCCATCCATCTTTCTTTCCTTCTTCCCTCCCTTAATCCTTTCTGTTCTTCCTTCCTTCCTTTCTTTTTCTTTATTTTAAAGATTGATTGATTATGTAGACAATGCCCGTCTGCACGTCAGAAGAGGGCACCAGATCTCATTTAGATAGTTATGAGCCACCATGTGGTTGCTGGGAATTGAACATAGGACCTCTGGAAGAGCAGCCAGTGCTCTTAACCTTTGAGCCATCTTTGCAGTACCCCCTTCCTTTCTTTTTCAGAGACAACATCTCATCATTATTTTCTTGGCTGCCCTGAAACTATATAGACCAGGCTAGCCTCAGATTCACAGAGATCCACCTGCCTCTGTCTCCCAAGGGCAGGGATTAAAGATGTGCACTACTGCCTTATGTTCCTTGAGTCACGTTGCTAAGACTCCTCACTCTGCCCCTGCACCTTGCATACCTCACTCTAGGTGAGATATCATCTTGCCCTAGGCCTGATTCTGCAAGCTTTTCACTTCCCCTGTTCTTATTCCTGCCAATAGCCTAGCCCACCCTGAGAATGCCCTGAGCTCTAGCTTCAAACACTGCTGTCAGCCTCACTCCCCAGCTTCATATTTTTGCTCTATTTCCTCCACTTTCCATTATGGTCAGGGTTTTTGGTTGTTTTGTTTTTGTTTTTCGAGACAGGGTTTCTCTGTGTAGCCTTGGCTGACCTAGACTCGTTTTTGCAAACCAGGCTAACCTCAAACTCACAGAGGTCCACCTGCCTCTGACTCCCCGAGTGCCGGGATTACAGGTGTGTGCCACTGTGCCCAGCTATGGTGAGTTTAAGGATTTCTTCTTTTACATCTATGTGGTGGGAAATACACGACATGACCCAAGTGGAGGTCAGGGGACAAACTGAAGGATTCAGTTGTCTCAGGGATTGAACTCAGGTGATCAGGCTCGGCATTAGACACCCTTAACTGCTAAGCAAATCGCCATCCCTGTGTTTGTTTTGGTTGTGACTGGGTTTTGTTTGTTTGGTTGGTTGGTTTTTTTGAGACGGGGTCTCTCCTGTCAGTCCCAGAAGTCCTATGTAGACCAGGCTAGTTTTGAATTACATCTGCTTCTGACTCCACAATGCTGGGATTAAAGTTGTGTGCCACCATGCCTGGCTTGTATCAGTTTTTTCATGGTGTCACCCTAGTTTTCTATGCTAGCACATAGAATGAGGTGGAACCTAAATGAGAAAGAATGGAGGCTTACTTGGCTATGACAGGAATAGAGAGGGTTTCAGCGATGGCTCTTATAACTTCACAGCTGACAGGGTGCTGAGGCCGTTCCTCCCGATTCCTTAAAGATAAAGAAAAGAGAAGGGACCTTGGGGCTGTGGGCCAAAGGCCATATCATTCCTGAAATCCTACTGTCCTTCCTAGCAAACCTCAAGCAGATCAGACAGCCATGTGGTCATCTAGGACAGGGAATGGCCTTCCTGACCTATGGAGAAGAGCTCTGTCCTAAGGGGCAAGAGAGTGAGAAGGTGAAGCTGAATTCTCAGGAGTCTGAAGATGGGACATAGCTGCAGAGGAACAATGTGGGTGGCCTGCTTCCCAAGGTCACACTTCTTTTCCCTGGCTTCCCCTTGCCTTTGCCAGAAATAAGAGACAGTGTCACAAAAATGCTACCCCTACAGCCCCAGCCCTGCCCTTCCCAAGGGACCTGGAACAGCTGCCACTGCTCAGACTGGCCACTCCCACACAGCTGCCCGTGCTGAGGCCAAGTTGCACAGCTGATCTTTGGGAGAAGCACCTGACATGTGGTAGGCCCTGTTCCAGGGGCCGCTAGGGTAAACCACAGATCATGACCGTCATAAGCCACGGGAGAAGCAGGACACAACCCAGGGCCCCTTCCTACCAAGGTCAACAGCAGAAAGTTCTTGTGAATGAGTAAGCAAATCTTAGGCATGTACAGTGACTCCTGGCCCAAGCTATTCGTGAAGACAAGCAGGAGAAGTGACTAACCAGTTCTTGCTTGAGTCTAGCTCCTAAGCTATATATACTTATTCTTTGATTTCTCAGACAAGCCTGCCAATCCAGCTTGTACCTCTGATTCCTTACATCTCCAGCAGCTGATTTTTACACCATACTAAACAACTGCATTTCCTGAATTTCTGATGGTCAGGAAATCCTTCCTTAAACTCTCCCAAATTTGTTTTCTAATTGCCTCTGATTTCCAGGAAAAGTAAGTTTCCTTAGTATTGTCTGCAAGGTTGTGTAGTCACAATCGCATAAAAGCTTCAAAATAACTAGGTTCAAGCAGTAGTTATATTAATTGCCAAATGAGGAATTTGTTAATTACAGAGGTTAAGTGGTTTCCCTAAGGATACATAATCAGCAAACTGCAGTGCTGGGATATCAAATAGACCACTGAGTCTAAAGCCCACTGCCTCAGCAAGGAGTCTAGGATGTGTGCATCTGTCACTTCCAAACCCTCCTAGTGTGGATCCAGGCAGCTTCACCTTACTGTTTTGTATGTTGTTCAGGATATACCCCAAAATGTAGTAACAGGCAAAAGAAGCAACCTTGGCTGTTCCTACAAAACCCCTGAGTTCCCTTCAATAAGAGTACTGACAAAGCCTACTAATCAGGATTATATAAAAAGGGGCATGCTAGGCACAGGACGCAAGTTTGACAAGAAGATAGCAGCCTTCAGAAACACCTTGGCTCAGCAGGTCCTAGTGTGCATGCCTATAATCCCAGTACTTGGAAAACTGAGACAAGAGGATTGCCATGAATTCAAGGTCAGCTTGGGCTATGCGATGAGATTTAGCTTAGTCAGAGCCAACAGTGAGAGCACCCCTCTCCCATAGCTATACGAGTGTGTGTGTGTGTGTGTGTGCGCGCGCGCACACACGTGCACGCGAGAGAGAGGTAGAGTGTGTGTTTGTGTGTGTGGCTGGAGAGATGGCTCAGCAGTTATGAGTACATACTACTCTAATGGAGGACACACGTTCAGTCCCCAGCACCCAGATCAAGCATCTCACAACCTCCTGGAACTCCAGCTCCAGGGAATCCAACACTTTCTTCCGGACTCTGCAAGCACCTACACTGAGACACACACACATATACATAATAAAAATTAAATAAATCTTTAAAAAAGGAAAAAAAAAAAAGACTCAGTTTCCAATAGAGAACACATGAGCTACAGATACAAGAACTGTTTAAAGCAGACACTGGGACAGCTGGCAGTCCAACAAGGGCAGGAAAGAAAGGCAGAGCCTTTAAAAGAACAGCCATCTGCTTGGGGTCATTCAAGGGAGAAGCCAGTGCTCAATGAAGTGGAAAGAAAAATGAGATTCAGTGGGTGTGGTGGCTCATGCCTGTAATCTCAGCACTTGGGAAGCTAAGGCAGATGGATTGAAAGTTCAGGGCTGCTTAGGTTGCATAGTGAACCCCTGTCTCAAAAAAAAAAAAGAAAAGAGAGAGAGAAAAAAGGACTTCGCTATAGTAGTGCATGCCTATAATCCCACTTAGGAGGTGGAGGCAAGAGCATCAGGGGTTCAAGGCCAGCCTCAGCTGTGTCAAGTTTGAAGCAGGTCTGAGCTCTATGAGTCTTATGACAACAAAACCAAGCCAAAAACAGAAAAATGGACCAGGGATATACCTCAGTGATAAAGCACTTGCCTAACATGTAGAAGACCCTGGACTTAATTCCCAGAACTTAAAAAAAAAAAAAAGGAAGGAAGGAAGGAAGGAAGAAAAAAAAGATTCAAAATTTAATTTTAACCACTACTTCATGGCTATGTGATACAATTTTTTAAAATAACTAGTTTTATTTTATTTTATTTTATTTTATGTGCATTGGTGTGAGGGTGTCAGATGCCCTGGAACTAAAATTACAGACAGTTGTGAGCTGCCATGTGGGTTCTGGGAATTGAACCCGGGTCCTCAGGAAGAACAGCCAGTGCTCTTAACCACTGAGCCATGTCTCCAGCCCCTATGTGATACAATTTTAACACACTGCACAACTTCTACCACTTACATCTTGCAGGCGATAACCCTTCTCCTTCCACTTGTGTTTCTAACGCTTGGAGTTGTGCCTACAAAGATACTCGGTGAATGAACAAATGCAAGCCCTTGCAGAGTTAAAATGTTTTCTGGATTCATAGGCTGTTAGAGAGCTAGGCAGAGGTAGGCTAAATACTCGGGGAAGCTGTTTGTCACCTGGGGTCTGTTGAGGGACCATGAGGATGGCTGAGGATTCCCCTTGCCAGCCAATCACTGAGAGGGCAACCACTCACCTCCCATGAACTGCAATGGCTGAAATGCCAGTACTCTCTATCCGCTTCACAAGCTTCAGGGTATCTTCCAGCTAGGTAAGAGAGATTACAGCACAAGGTGGTCATTAAGGACCCAAGGAAGGAGCTGCTCACTCCTAAAATGGGCTCAGTTCCACCACCAGAGCCAACACCACCCGAGAGAACAGACCTTCAAATGCATCCTTACCGATGGCAGGATTCGGATTTTACAGGTCACAGGTCTGTGTGTTCCTTTAACAAGAGTGCTGAGGATCTGCAAAGAGGAGTAGGCAGGAACATGTCTCTTCTGGAACAAACCACTATACTGCTTGCAATTGTCAGCATCCCGACAAGACTCATGCATACCAGGAGAACTTGCTGTTATCTGTTGTATGTATTTACATGTAAACTCTATGGAGTAAGACTTCTCCCTCTGTTCTATGCTAAAATCGCAACACTGGCAAGTCCTTGCCTGATACATAGAGTGGTGTGTGTGTGTGTGTGTGTGTGTGTGTGTGTGTGTGTGTGTGTGTTAAATACACTGAATGAAGAAATAAGTGCATGGACCTGCATGCAGTCCTGAGTGACACACAGTGATTCTTTGCCAGGAAAAACAGCAGAATCACCTAGAGAGCTTAAGTAACACAAACTCTTAGATCTGACCACTTTATCTCCTGACCAGGTGTCTAGGGACAGAGCTTAGAAATCTGTGTTTTCAAAATCATTGCCCAACACACTCAATATAACCTTGAGGCCTAGTCCTGCTTATGAACACATGACCGGCTTCTTTTTTTTTTTTTTTTCCAAGACGGGGTTTCTCTGTGTAACCCTGGATGTCGTGGAACTCACTCTGTAGACCAGGCTGCCCTTGAACTCTAAGATTTGTCTGCCTCTGCCTCACCAAGTGCTGGGATTAAAGGCATGAGCTCAGGAACTGACAGGCTCTTTTTTAAATAAAAGGAATATTCCCTAACTGTCATCCCACGTACTATAGAATGAGAAAGGAAAGGTCTTTAAGGGCCTAGGCCCTGTCCTCATGAGTCCCCCTCTTTTGAGAAGTCAGATATACAAATGTATAAACTAGAAAAGGGAAATGCAACACGTTCAACATATTTTAAGTGCTTCTAATACAATAATTAGAAAAGATTGTAAACAAAGATCAAGTCACCCAGGAAAGGAGTCAAGGAGGTAAGCCTGACAAGGCAGCATGAGAATCAGAGATCAAGAGAGATACAAATGACCCTGGTGTCTGTTGCACTGCTATCTTCTTCCTACATAAAAAAGTTCAGGCCAGGCACTGCGGAGAGATGATCTCAACAGCCCTCTTCCAAGAACTAACCAGCAGAGGTGCCGCCCAGGCAGCAGCGTTCAGATATGCAGGAACACTTACATTTGTCTTGATTCTGGACAGATGGGGGCAGCAGAGAGCCAGTTATGATAAAAACAGGACTTATCTAAGAGCTAAGGTAGGCCACTCAGGATATCAGGCCAGATAACTGTTAAAAGGTGGACCGGTCACCAACAAGACCTTCTCTGCTGACCAGGCAGGAAGGATCACTGGCCAGGTGCTGCCTCAGACAGCAGTCTAGACCTGATTTCCCAGAGTAAGACTGGTAAGCCTTAAATGGGCATTTGTGCTTTAAGGAAAGGGACTGCCAGACCCATGAGGATAAATCACAGAAATTCTCACTCTAGCGAGGCATGGTGGCACATACCTTAGGAGGTAGATGCAGAAGGAACAGCAGTTTAAGGTCATTCTTGACTAAAGAGTAGAAGGTCAGGCCAGACTACATGAGACCCTATCTCAAAATACACAAATCAATAAATAAGCAAACCATGTCGCCCAATACTTCTGGTTCACAACAATATCTGTGAAGGTTCCCTTGCAAGCGCTCACTTTGAACCCTTTGAAATGTGCTGACAAAATACCAAGTGGTTTGACACAGTCTTCCGCCTCAGAGAACTTCCTTTTGATTTATTCTAAGTAGTTCCAGGCACTTTCTAGGTATTTCTGTTCACATGCACATTAAAGATCAGGGAGGAAATTAGGAAAGTGAAAGATCTAGTCACTTGCTAGGATCACATGAGGGAGGAACAGGCAAACTGAGGCTGTCTTTTTGCCAGGTGGTAGGTAGCATGAAATATGGACACCCCACCATCTGGATCTAAGTCATGCCACATGTCCCTGCTAGAGGAGGGAAAGGACCAGAGAGAAAATCCATATCTGAGTGAGGAGCATTCATATTTACCCATAGGCAGACTTGCCTCAACAGATCCACTGGCCAGCCTGGAATGCATAATATCCCCTCTCAGAAAGGAAGGAAAGAAGGGAGGGAGGGAAGAGGGAAATTTGTCATTATAAGATCTGTCCCACCCTCAACTTCTTGGTTTTGGAGACAGGTTTCACTATATATCTGAGACTATCCTGGACTCTCTTACATAGCGTAGGATGTCCTTAAATCCTCCTGCTTCAGCCTCTTCAGTACTGATTAAGAATGTAAGTGTCTGCTACCTCCTCCCTCCTGACCCATTTTTTGAGACAGGGTTTCTCTGTGTAGCCCTGGCTGTCCTGGAACTTGCTCTGTAGACCAGTCTGGTCTCAAACTCAGGGATCCACCTGTCTCTGCCCCATTCCAAGTGCTGAGATTAAAGGTGTATGCTACCATGCTTTGCTTAAACACTTTTAAGTGTAACTGATTCAGTTATTCACATGGTAAAGCCACAATCATTATGTAGTTCCAAATTTTTTTGACCCTACATGAGCATCTTTATCTTGAAAAAACTTTCAAAGTACCCAAAGAGCTCTCAGCCATTATCCAGTTTGCCAGTACAGTGTAGATCTCAGTGGAATCCTGCTCCATATTCCTAATTCACATCTAACTTCATTGTGGAAGCCTGAAACTTCCCTTCCATGAGCTAAATCCCATGTGACTGTAGCAGAATGAAGTAAGCTCCTGAGATGGACTGCCTCACTGCTGCCTCTTGCCAAATGAGCCTCATTAAAGTGGGGCAGAGTCAGAGCCAGTATCATTGGCCTAAGAAGTCAGTAAAATAGGGTAAACTCCTATGTACACACGTGAACCATAACCTGCTTTGAGGCATCCCTTACGCAAGTGTGGAAACCATTCTGAGATCCACAGCTCTGCCCTCCATTCTGCACGGGGCATCTGATTGCAGGCTCTAAAGTCCAGCTGGTTACTGAACTGTGGCTAGAAAGTTAAGAACTGCCACAGTGGCCTTTAGCACAAGGTGTCACTGAGAAGGACACTAATGCTGTGGTGAGGGGCCACAGAACTATAGCTCTGAAGTTGCCTTTGTCTGCCACATATTTGAAAGAGGATCTTTAGCAATTTTTCTCTCTGTGCTTTTTTTTTTATTCTGGTTTTTTTTAATATTTATTTATTTATTAATTATGTATATGTGGTGTCTGCAGGTACACCTGCACTCCAGAAAAGTGGCACCAGATCTCATTATAGATGATTGGGAGCTGCCATGTGGTTGCTGGGAATTGAACTCAGGACCTCTAGAAGAACAGTCAGTGCTCTTAACCTCTGAGCCATCTCTCCATGCCCCTTTTATTTTGTTTTGTTTTGAGTTTTTTGGTCTTTTGAGACAAGGCCTTATACAGTCCAACTTGACATCGAATTCCTGATGCTCCTGCCTCCTCTTCCCAATTGTTGGATTTCAAGTATATATGTACCACACACAAGTCATCTTCAATATACTATTCTATTTTTATCTATTTAAATTTCAGTTTTAGGTTTTTATTTGTTTTTGTTTGTTTAGTTTGGGTTTTTAGTTTAATTTTTTTAAATCCAAACAATAACAGTGGTCTGGTGGTATGTGGTAGTTTAAAGGAGAAATGTCCCCAATATGATCTCTCAGCTTCCTGCTCCTGCTAGCTTGTTGCCATGCCTCCTGCCATGATGGATGCTTATCCCCCTGTAAGTATAAGCCCATTAAATTCTTCCCTCTTAGCTGGGTATGATGGTGCATGCCTTTGATCCAGCACTCAGGGAGGCAGAGGCAGGCAGAACTCTGTGAGTTCAAGGCTAGCCTGGTCTACAAAGCGAGTTCAGGACAGCCAACAGTACACAGAGAAACCCTGTCTCAAAAAAACAAAAACGAAACAAACAAATAAAAAAATCCTTCCCTCTTTAAGTTGCCTTCACAGAATTAGAAACCTAACTAAAGCATAGTGTTAATACAGGAGAATTATTCGGGCTCAGGAGTCTGAGACTAACGTGGGCAACACAAGTAGACACTGTCTCAGACAGAGAGAGAAAGAGAAAGTGAAAAAGTACAAATGCCTGCCACGTCTGCCTCAAAGGACTTTGAAAACAAATGAAATAATACTGTAATGTGCACTGAAAAGACACTATTCTATAAACAGCAAAGATGCATTATATAACAATAGATTAAAGGAACATTATCTGAGGCTGAACAAAAGAAAAGAAGATACGAGCATAGTGATCCCCCTCCACCCCAGAGATCCCTGAAATGATGACTACATAGGACTGAGCTGTGACAACCAGCATACACCACAGCAGCTCTCACTGGTCGGATCTGACTGCAAAGTCACTCACGTCTATAGGAAATACCATGAGGCTCAAAACTCAGGCAAGGAAGTGGGGATGGAGGAGGAAAAGGAAGACAAAAGAGTCAGTACAGGAAGAAGGTGAAAGCTGGTAAATTAGGGAAGAAAAGCAGTGCTAAGGCAAAGTTGTTAACCACATATGCCCACACAGACCACAGCACTGGGTAGCAAATGCCAACCTATCTCCTGGCCTGTATTAAGCCCATTTGTATACTCTGCAAAGGATGGGAAACAAAGAGCGACTAACTTCAACTTGCCTCATATAACCCTGGCCTGGTCTGTTCTCAAAGGCCATTGTGGTACACTCCTGGAATCCCAGTACTCAACAGGCTGAGGCAGGAGGATTGTTCAGAGTTCAAGGTCAGTGAGACCTACAAAACGAGTACAGGCCAGCCAGAATTATATAGCAAGACCCCATCTCAAAAAATGGCTAGGCCACAGAGGAGGACAATGCAGCCACTCCTGATGAGACCTGACAGACTAGATCAGAAGGAAGAAGAGGAAGACCTCCCCTCAGTGGACTGGGGGAGGTGCATGGGTTGTGAAGGGAGAGGGATGGTGGGATTGGGAGGGAAGGAGGAAGGGAGCTACAGGGGGATACAAAGTGAATAAATGTAATTAATAAAATATAAAAACAAAAAAAAAATTAAAAGAATGGCAAGAAAGATGGGTCAGAAGTTAAAAGAGCTTCTGCTCGCTGCTCTTCCAGAAGTCCTGAGTTCAATTCCCAGCAACTACATGGTGGGCTTCATAACCATCTATAATGAGTTCTGGTGGCCACTTCTGGCATGTAGGTATACATGCAGGCAGAATACCAAATATATAATAAATAAATAAATAAATAAGCAATAGGGATGGAGAGATGGCTCAGCAGTTAAGAACACTGGCTGCTCTTCCAGCGGTCAACGAGTTCAATTCCCAGCAACCACATGGTGGCTCACAATCATCTATAGTGAGATCTGGTGTCCCCTTCTGGTGTGCAGGTATACACGTGGATAGAACATTGTATAAAAAATAAATAAATATTTAAAATAAATAAACAATAAACAAATCTCTTTTAAAAAAGAAAGGGTGAGGAGCAAGGGATGGGAAGTACACTGTGATACCCTTTCTATGTGATCAATGCAAGGGATACCCAGCTATGCTCATCCAGCCCGGTAGAAGAGGCCTGGCCATCTTTACACACAGACTTTTGAGCTTGCCTTATCCAGAGTGATCTGCCCTCTGCTCTCTGATCATCCTGGAAGGGAAAGTGTCAAAATAGAGGAGGCTGTATCCCAGTTCTCAGGCCCTCTGGCTCTCAGGGAACGTGACCCTATCTATAGCCTTTTACAGAAATCAAGAGTACTGAAGGCTAACTGAAGGGTTCCCAGCAGGACTGAAGTTCAGTTCCCAGAAACCACATCAGGTAGCTCATGACCACTTGTAATGCCACCTCCCAAGGATCCAGTGATACCTTCAAGCACTGCACACACACGGTACAGACTTCTATGCAGGCAAAACACCCATAACACTTAAGAATAAACAAATTTTAAAGTAGAAAATCCAGGGAGACTTCAGTGAATCTCGACTAGGGGCAGAGACACAGCATGTCTGAGGACTGTACTGTCACTTACCTTCTCAATCTTGTCTGGGTCTGACAACAGAGCAGCTCCCATGCCTCCCTAAGGAGAAGCACAGAGAAGACCTAATGATTTTAGGAGATGGTCATAACCACAGTAAGGCAATACAGTGTAGCCATGGCCCACTAGAAACTGTTATTTCCCTAACCACAGAGGAAGGTAGCATTGTCTGTGCACACCCCATCAGGAATCAGAATGTGATGAACCCTAAAAACACTCACTCTCGCCCTATTTGCAAAACCATGTATCAACCTAAAAATGGGCACTGCAAATTTTATTTTTAAGGACGTCACACCCCCATAAAAAATCTCAGAGTCATAGCAAACTGAGCCCACCATCTACTGTGTCCTTAAGACAAGGGGTCCACCTGAGCAGAGTGGCATACATACTCAGGAAGCTGATTCAGGAGGATCAAGAGTTTGAGGCCAGCCTCTACTGCATAGTGGTGAGTTCAAATCTAGCTTGTACTTCACATATAGATCCTATTAAAAAATAAAAATTTTTAAAAAACCAGCAATTCAGTGACAGTAATGGCTCTTTCTCTCTCTTTTAACTTTTCAGGATTGTGTGTGTGTGTGTGTGTGTGTGTGTGTGTGTGTGTGTGTGTGTATGATGTTTGGAGATCAAAGGACAGCTAACAGGAGTCAGTTCTCTCCTTCCACATGTGAGTGCTGGGGTTTAAACTCAGGTCGTCAGGCTTGGTAACAAGTGCCCTTACCTGCTGAGCCATCACTCCTACCAAATGCTGTCTCTTGATGATAAGCTTATTTACCCATAACTTTCCTGCTTTTTTTTTTTTTCAAAATTATTTATATTTTTTAAGTATTAGAAATAGTATGAATTACTTTGTGTTTTGTTCTGTTGATACAGGATTATGTTATATAATCCTGGATGAGTTCAGGCTGGCTTTGAACTCATGGTAATCCTTCTGCCTCAGCCTGAGAACCAAGATTACAGTTGTAAACTAGATTATCTAGCTGCTATGAGTTACTTTAATAAATCATGGGTGGGAAATAGAAAGGGGAGCTTTTTTTTTTTTCAAACATGTATGTGTTCATGTGTGTATGCCACATGTGTAGGCATGTTTGGTTTTTTTTGGTCTTTTTTGTTTGTTTGTTTTTTGGGGGGTTTTTTTTTGGAACCCAAAAAGGTTCAGGTTTCTTAGAGCTGGAGTTACAGGTGGTTATGAGTGCTTGACGTGGTTCCGGGAACTGAAGCCAGGTCCTCTAAGAGAGCAGCAAACACTCTTACCTGCTGAGCCATCTCTCTAGCCCTAGACGGAGGATCATTATAAATTCAATTTTATTTGCTCTTACTGTGTATATGTATGGTGTGTGGGGAGGGGCATGTGCATGCCACAGCATATGTATGAAGGTTAGAGGACAAAATTAGGAGCTGATTATCTCCTTCCACAGTGGGATTCAGGGATTAAATTAATGCAATCAGGCCTGTGTGGCAAGCACTTTTACCCACTGAGCCAGTTTGCTGACCCATAGGATCTGCAAAGGTCTGAATTTGTTAGGAATAAAGTGAGTGAGCTGGAGAGGAAGAATGCTTGCTTAGCATAAATGAAGTCCTGGGTTCAATCCCTAGCATCTCATCAAATAAATGTGGTGGTAACACCTATAATACCAACACTTGGGAGATAAGCACTGGTGGACCAGAAGTTCAAGGTCATCCTGTAGCTCAGGCTAGCCTCCAACTCATCATCCTCCTGCCCTGGTCTTTGCAAGTTCAGACTACAAGTGTGTGCCACCATTCCTAGCCTAATAACATCCCTTTGATCATCTTTCTTGTCCAGCACAGGGTCTAGCCCAGAGCCAGGTGCTGTAATAGTTAGCCTCATTTACTCTGCACAGTATAATTACAAGGAATATAAAGAAATCACTTTACCTTGGTGGAATATTCTTTTGGACAGCCCATGTTGACATCAATACCAGCCACATCATTTTCTCTGGAAAAGCATAAAAGAGAAAAGGTAGTAAACATTCTACTTGAGGGAAGAATTAGATGAGCGTTAAAGGGTTCTGAGCTCCTGAATCCCCTCGGCCTCCTGGGCCCGTGAAACACACGAAAATCTCAACAACAAAAGCTGAAAATCAGTAAAGAAGCCTGTCTCCCAGCCGCAACTGCCTTATGTGAGCTGAGCCCAGAAGAAAGACATAACGAATCCACATCCATAGTAATCTGGATGTAGGGGACTTTACTACTCTGAGGGTCGTGTCAGCTATTCCAAATACTCAGCAACCCTGAACTCCATCCTAAGACTCTTGTTTGACTGGGGTAGTGGAAGCCATTTGTCAACGGAGAGAGGTGGTATGGGCACGGAGCCATCGGCAGCGCTCACCTTCTGTAAAAGTTACTAAACTGAGCCAGGTATGGTGGCACACACATGTAATCCCAGCACTCAGAAAACAGGAAGATCACATGTTTGAGGCCAACCTGTGCTACGTAAGATAAAAAAAAGAGGAGGAAGAGGAAGAGGAGGAAGAGGTGGTGGTGCTGGTGGTGCTTGTGATCCTTATATTAGACTAGCTTCATTTGCTGAGCTGCACGATTGGTTTACTCCAAATAATTCTGGGATATAGAAGGACCCTCACTCATCCACTGGTTTATAGCAGTCTGATTTACAGCAATTAAGGCCTGAGTTCTTTCCTACTCTAACTGTCATCAATAATACGCACTCATATGAAGCACTGATGATGTGCCACATGTTGGGAAGACACGACATACATTATTTCATTTGCTGTTTCCTATAATGGCAGAGGTTGGTAAGCATCATTTTATAAATAAGAGAACCAAGTTCTCAAGTTACCTAAGTTCACACAGTTGGCAACCAGCAAAGCAGAATTCCAGCTGAGCTCTGCTGAAACTCCAAAGGCTACCACTTCAACCATAAATTGTTCTCCTGACCGCTGGCTTGGCAAGGAATGGACCCTTATCTACATGTCATGAAGGGTAAAGCTTCAGGATTCCCAGAAGAATCCCTGGAAAGGGAAACCCATGAATAAACACTAAAATGGGGGCTCAATATAGAGGATCTCTGAGATACCGCCATAATGGTATCTCGTAATGGAAGACAAGAGTCCCAGGCTAACCTTCAGATACCACAGAGAAAGAAACCCAATACCCTTCACCTGAAAACAGAAAGGGGCTAGAAAGCAAAAGATGGGTTGCTAGAAACATGAAGGTCTCACAGCTTACAGAAGAGACAAGGCATTCCCAAGGAGGAAAGAACTTACACAAGCCTGGCCACAGCAAGGGCTCTCTCTGCGTCTGAAGTCCCCTGGGAACACAAGAAGCTACATCAACCTGTCTTGACACAAGTGCACACATGTAGACAAACACACCTATTGGTATCTTACACACATATGTACATGAATGCATATGCAGGTACCAGCATTGTAAAAGTCAGGCCTACTTGGGGCTGAGAGATGACTGAGCAGTTTAAAGCACTGGTTGCTCTTCTAGAAGATCCCAGTTTGATTCCCAGCACCCACAAGCTTATAATTCCAGTCCCAGGGGATCCAATGACCTCCATAGGCACCAGACACATACATGGCACACTGACATACATCCATGTAAAACACCCACCACACACATAAAATAAAATTATACACACACACACACACACACTTTTTTAAAAAAGAGACCAGTACACTAGTCTTGTTCACCAACAATGCTAAAAGATGAACTTGGAAGGCCTAGAAAATATCATTAATATCATGGTTACTTTCATACATAAAAAATAAAATAAAATAAAAAATAAACTCAGAGTCCAGAGAGGTGGCTCAGTAGATAAAGTACTTGCTGTGCAAGCATGAAGGTCAGAGTTTAGATCACTAGTACCCACATAAAAACCAGGTGGGGGGCCAGCAAGACAGCTCAGTGGGTAAACACGCTTACTACCAAGAATGTCAATTTGAGATCAATTCCTGGCACGCAGAAGGTAGGAGAACTGACTCCTGCAAGTTGTCCCTTTATCTCTACAAATGCATTATGGCACAAACGCATGCATGCACACACACGCGCGCGCGCACACACACACACGCACACACACACACACACACACACACACAAATAAGCAATGTAATAAAACTTTATTTTAAAAGAAGGGCAGAGTGGCAGCCTGTCTATAATCTCAGTGCTCATGAGGTGGAAACAGAGGCTCCCTGGGGCAAGCTCACCAGCTAGACTAGCCAGATCAGCAAGCTCTGGGTTCAGCAAGAGACCCTGCCTCAGTCAACAGAGTGGACAGCAATCAAGGAGGATACCAAACGTCAACTTCTAACCTACACACATGTGCACACACATACACACTAAAAAGTTTTTTAAAAAACTGCGGCACATATTAAGATACCCATCACTCAATTCTATAATTAACATTTTATGATGTATTTTGTCTACCCATTGTTATCAAATTTTTAAAGTATCTAAATGCATCATTCAGGAGCTACTCCTAAAAACCACCAAGTTATACCTAAAGAAAGAGAGAAAAGCTAGTTGGGCAGTGGTGGCACACACCTCAATCCCAACACGTGGAAGGCAGAGGCAGATGGATCTCTGAGTTTGAAGCCAGCCTGGTCTGCAGAGTGAGTACCAAGACAGCCAGGACTACACAGAGAAACCCTGTCTCAAAAAAATTTTAAAAATAAAAGAAAAATTTAAAAAAAAAAAAAAGAGAAAAGCTATAGTATAATTACCTATGTAACATATATCTTAACTACTCTTTAGAAAACCTCAGTCCAGCCATGCATGGTGGCGCATGCCTTCAATCCCAGCATCGGGAGGCAAAGGCAGCTGGACCTCTATGTAGCCTGGTCTACAGAGCAAGTTCCAGGACAGCCAGGACTACACAGAGAGACCCTGTCTTGAAAACACACAAAAATAAAAAGAGAAAGAGAGAAAAAGAAAAGGACAACCTAAGTCCTTTGTTATGTACTACATAAAAACAAATACTTGGCCAGGATAATCAATCCTAATAGAAGTCATGCCAAACAGATAATTAATTAATAATTAAATAAGTCTGAGACTGGAAGCATGAACAGACTGCAACAGCTTAATTTCCACAGTCCCCAACAGTGAGCCCAATCACTAACAAATCTCTGAAAAATGTTCAAGCCAATTACAGAACACCACCACTGGCCACCGCTGGCCAGCGTATTACAGGCACTCAACACTGGCAGACATAAGCAGGAATTAGGAAATTCAGGGAACAGGGAGCCTCAGAAGGACTCTAGCCACTGAGGTGGGAAGTGTCTCTTACCATCTGGAAGACCACCCTGCTCTGTTCTCTTTTACAGGTACGAAAGACCACTCGGTCATCAGGAGCAACGAAGTCCACTGTGCCAAGCACCTCTGCAAGAAAACAGACACTTGACCACACAGCTAAGATGCAAGTTCAACCCAGCCTAAGCCTTGGAAGCCACAGCAAAACTATAACCTAGGAAGGAAAACTGTGGATTCTAGATACATACTCTTCTTAAAGACAGAAATATGTTCTTGGGAAGCTTTTGAGTTGCTGATGATGGTGTGTTTTCAGAGTGATGGTAGTTCACTTTACAATTATTTGATAAATGACATGTTTACAGTTAATGTTCCATAATTTTTAAAATGCTATTAGCATTTTAATCAGGAGAAAGAAACATATGTGAAACTTGAGCCCAAACTGCTCTAGAAAGTAGCAGTCTAAGGTTCAGCAAAGTTATAATTTCTTCTTTTAATATTTATTATTCATACAGTATTCTGCCTGTATGTGTGTCTGCACACCAGAAGAAAGCACCAGATGTCAAGTTATCATTTCTTAATTATGTAGTGCCCAAGTAGCATGAGTGGAGATGGACTGCATTTCAGTCGACCTTCCTTATTACCTGAAGTCGCAATGTTTGTAAATTCACTTATTTATTTATGACCTGCATATCAATACTTCCAATATTTCTAGTTAGTCATAGACAGATAAAATATAACAAAATAAATTGAGTGACTTTCCCAGCTGAGGTCAAACAAAGGGATACTCTTCTTGTTTGTTTTCATACTATAGTATCCCTCAGAGCTAGGCATGATGGTGACACTGGTAATCTCACCACATGGAAGGCTGAGGAAGGAAGATCAGCAGTTCATACTCATCTTCAGATACAGTGAGTTCAAGGCCAGCCTAGGCTACCTGAGACACTGTCTCAAAATTTAAAAAGAAAAAAAAAAGGTCACATTTAGTGCCTTTCGTTGCATTCTTTTTGTTGTTGTTTTATGTTTAGTACTCTCATTGTTTAAAGTGACTCCAAGAGCTGGGTGATGGTGGCACACGCCTTTAACCCCAGCACTTAGGAGGCATAGGCAGGCAGGTCTGAGTTCAAGGCCAGCCTACAGGTCTACAGACTGAGTTCCAGGAAATCCAGGCCTACTCAGAAAAAATCCACCTTAAAAATAAAGAAAGAAATAAATAGCTCCAAGCATAGCAATAAAGTACTGTGTAATGTTTCTAACACTGATTCTTTCCTTTCATTTAAAATTTTTTATTTCTATTTTATGGGTGTGGGTGTCTTGCCTACATGTGTATCTGTGTACCACTTGTGCACCTCCTGCCCTCAAAGGCCAGAGAGAATACTGGATCCCCTGGGACTGGAGTTATAGATGGTTGTGATCTGCCATGAGGATACTGAAAAATGAATCTGGGTCCTCTGCAAGAGCAGCCTGTGTGCTTAACCACTGACCCATTTGTCTACCACTCTAATACTATTTCTAATTACAAAAAGGCTGAGGTGAGCTTAAGGGACAAAATACATGCATTAGAAATTTTCTTCTATTTCTTGTTTTTTGTTTCCTTTCTTTCTTTTTCTTTTTGAGAGAGGGTCTCCCTGTGTAGCCCAAGGCTTGAAGTCTGGACATTCCTGCCTCTGCCTTCCCAATGCTGGAATTACAGGTGTATATTACACCTGGCAGCCTTTCTTTGTCTTTTTCAATGACCTCCCACATGGTAGGCAAATATTCTACCACTGAACCGTATCCCCAGCCCTGGATAACCTTTATTCAGGCATGAAATCATACTGCTATTGGCTATTATGTATATGTTTACATACACATGCTGTTATATATTAAAAGTTTTATATATAAAGTTATGTATACTATTTAAAGTTACATATTAAAATAGTTATATATAAATTTTTCATTTACTCTTTAGTAAGTACTAATAAAGAGTACTTTCAAATCAAAGAAGATTACTACAAGAAAAAGATCCAACATGGCAGATGATCGAATACATCTATGACAAAGACTATCTTAAAACTACAAGAGCTCTTTAAAGCATGTAAAGCACATCCACAAATGAAAGCTATTATTAACATCCTAGCACTGAACAGATAGCAGTTAACCTTAGCACCACTTACTCCATGATGGAAGAACTATTCAGGCTGTAAAACTTAGCACATAGACAGTACTACCTACCAAAACAAAGATCTAATCCATCGAAGTCCATACACAGTTCAGGAAATTCTCTAAATGTACTAATCTTGCTTTTGTAGCTTCTGTAGTTCTGCTTCTGGCTAACTGTTCTTGTTATCTGAATTATGTCACTCCAGAACATGGTTTTTGTGCTTAAAAGCTCACTCTGAGAAAGGCTCAGGGCTACACTGAAATCCCAAACACCCAGTGTAGTCACTGGCTGGCTAATAAAGACTTTCTATTGGCTTAAACTCATATCTGGGTGTCCTCTCTGGTGAATACCGAACAACAGTTCTAAAAGGTAGGGTAAAGGGATGACTTGCTGAGAAAGGTAGTTGATTCCTGACAGTGATAGCCAAAGATAGTAGGAAAATGTCTAAGAAGCATACAAAACTGCTGTGCTTATAATGCAGCATTATAACAGCAAAATACTGGAAAATCCCATTAAGGAGCTGAGGACACCCCTTCTAGTAATAGTCACCTATAGTTTCTAACGCAGAAAAATGTCCTAGCAGAAAAGGAAGTGGCAAAGCAGTATGTGAGGCAGAATGCCCTGGGGCGGAAAGACAGATATAAAAATTCACATTTACGTACACACAGTTTACGAATTGTATGCATAGAAAGATATACACTGTCCCCTTTTGTGATTTTCACTTAGGTGTAGGATTCTGGGGCATTTTATTTTCTAGGTTATATAGAGCTGCAATACTAAAATTTATTTTGGACAAGGCCTCAAAAACAGGCCTGGGATTCCTAATCCTCCTGACAAACTGATGAGGCTACAGGCATATATTACTATTTCAGGCCCAGTAATACTAAAATTTATTTACTTAGTTTATTTTCTTTTTTTATTTTTATTTTATGTGCATTGGTGTTTTGCCTGCATGTCTGTCTGTGTGAAGGTGTCAGATCTTGGAGTTATAGACAGTTGTGAGCTACCATGTTGGTACTGGAAATTGAACTCAGATCCTATGGAAGATCAGTCAGTGTTCTTAACCACTAAACCATCTCTCCAGGCTTTCATGTAGCTCTGGCCAGCCTGGAACTCACAATGTCAACCAGGATGGCATAGAACTCAGAAATCAGCCTGCTCTGCCTCCCAAGGGCTGGGATTAAAGGCATGCAACACCATGCCCGGCTCTGAGTTTTCTTAACACAAAATAAAATATGAATGTAAAATAAACAGTACTAGACAACTATAACCCTAGCACTTAAAAGGTAGAGGCAGGAGTATCCGGAGTTCAAAGTCATCCTCCACTACACAGCAGGCTCAAGGACAGCCTAAGAAAACAAACAAAATCTCTAGACCCTTAGGGATTACAACACTAATCAAAGCATAATCTACCTATCAATAAAGCAGAAGGGAGTCACAGTGTATCACAACTACTTCCAGCCCATGGAGCCTAAGGTGTGCTAAGTACTTACTGGTACTTTCTCTCCTTTGAGCCATAATACAGCTCTATGAATGAAGTAAAAGGCTTAGGATTTTCATTTCACTATTAAGAAACCAAGATGGAGAGAAGACATGAGGTTTGCCCGAGGTCACACATCTACCACATACCTGAGCTAGGCCCAGTATTAAAGTTATCCTTACTCCAGGGCCCCTGAGGTCCTTCCTACACTATGAAATATGGACATTTCTCTGATTTCAAGTCTATCAAGAACAGCATTCCACAACTGATTATTTATATATGTTTGTACGTATGTATGCATGTATTCCTGTAATACTGAGGATCAAACCTTCCAAGCATGTTAGGCAAGCACTCTACCAATGAACTGAACCTCTGAACCTCAAAAATGGGCTCTTGTCCCTGCAACTGAAGGGCAGTGACTGCTCTTGAGGGAGCATGTGATCTATGCAATTACATGATATAACAAGAAGGCTCCTGGGCAAGGGCAGTGACACTTGTGCTTGAGCCAGCTGGGCACACACAGAACCCTGAGGCCAGGGCTGAGCTTACCATTGACAACTCTCTTGCACTGAAGCATCTTAAGGTCAATCAGCTCCTGCAGAGGAATCAAAAGACACTCGTAAGTCCTGGACACTGGGCCCTCCACACAGATGATCTTTATTACATTTCTGATGACCACTGTCTAGCCAATAACCACAATACTGACAACAAACCATGGCTTTGGGGACATTGTGCTATCTCCTACAACTAAGCATGGCAAGCAAACAAAATTAGAACTAGAGAATAAAAAAGCCCAGAGAGGAAGATCTGAAACACAGGAAAGTAAAATCCACTCAGCTCACTGTATGTAATCAAATAGGTAATCCTCCCACTTAGGTAAAATATTCCAACAGATTCAGGGCAGAAAAGAAAACAGATTTGTTCAAAATGAGCATTATAAATGGAGGGAAATGTGATGTCTACTGATAGGTAGGTAATTCCTGGTTGGATACAACACTGTTTTGCTTTGTTCAGTAATTATTTCAGCAGACGTGGAAGACAAGTCTGAAGCTCGTGGCTGTGGACTCTGGGCATCCAAAAGAAAAAACTAAAAACCTATCATCCAAGATATTCATCCCACACTGAGCTCTTATGAGCCTCGGCAAACCACAACCCCAGCCTGGTGGCTACCATTACATGCACAGGAGTGTAAGGGAATGACCAATGGATCCTGATGGTATGTATGCAGCTCCTCTCAACATAACCAACATGTAGGTTAACACATGTATGTCTTTATTTCTTTTGTTTTTGTTGTTGTTTTGTTTTGTTTTTTTGAGACAGAGTTTCTGTGTCTCCCTGGCTATACTGGAACTCCCTCAGTAGATCAGGCTGGCCTTGAACTCAGAGATCTGCCTGCCTTTGCCTCGCCAATGCTGGTATTAAAGGACACCACTGCCCAGCTTTGCTCTATATATTTCTGTATCTGTTCTTTCCATACAGTATTCAAATCATCAAAAATCTAATGTCCAGTCCTGAACAAACAACCACAGTCAAGTCTGGGCACATGGTTATGCCTCTATGCCCTAAGATTTCCTGTAGTACCCCAAAGGGTGGGCAATAGCCAACAGGCAAAAAGGCAGTGCGCTTGTGGGAAAGCATTCAGTAAGTAATACGCTCTATGGATGGATGTACATGTCCTGACGCAGTAGCCTGTGGCAGCAGCCCGTGAAGTTGTATGTGCAGGCCGCAGATTGATGCGAAATGTCTTTCTCAATTGCTCTCCACCTTATTTTAAAAAATTCTTTTCTGACATCTATTTATTGCATTTATACTGTGTGTATATGTGTATGGTGCACTTGCGGATATAGAAGCAACTTGAGAGACCTCATTCTATCCTTTCACCACATGAGACTCAGAGATGGAACTCAGATTGTCCGGCTTGGCAACAATACCTCTACCCCCTGAGCCATCACACCAGCCCCGTTCTTCTTTGAAAAGGCTGGGGAGGTACTCTGCCTACATGTGGGAGGCCCTGAATTCAATACTCATTACCAGGTAGGGGAAAGGTTCAGCAACCTCACTTCTGACCATATCTTCTAACTGAAAGTAAGATCTCAAAGAGATACTTGCATCATTTCTCACAATCTCCAGACACAGAAGCAACCCAAATGTCTTTTGACAGATACATGAATAAATCAATGTGCTATATATACACAATGGGACTTTTTTTTTTTAAGATAGGGTCTCACTATGTAACCCTAGGTGGCCTGGAGCTCAGTATGTAGACCAGGCTGCCCTTGAACTCACAAAGATCCCACCTGCATCTACTTCCCAAGAGCTGGAATCAAAGGCATGTATCACCATGCCCAGCCATACAATGGAATGTTTTCAGCTTTGTAAGGGAAGAAAATTGTCACATACGATAACACATGTCTGCAATCTCAACTACTTGGGAGACAGAGGGAGAAGTCAGAAGTTTAAGGGCAATCTGATCAACTTGGCGAGATCATATCTCAAAATAAAATTGTATATTTGAAAAAAAGATGTATTTTATTTTACGTGTGAGTGTTTGGCTTGCATGTGTGTATGTACACTACGTGCCGGCCTGGTGTCCACAGCGGTCAGAAGAGCATACTGGACACTCTAGAGCTATGGTGTGTTTTGTGGATGCTAGGAACCAAACTAGGATCCTCTTGCAAGTGTGTAAACACTGAGCCATTTCTTCAGGTCCAAAACAAACCATTGAAACATCTCTTCAGCCCCAAAACAAATGTCTAAACAGTTGAACAATCTAACCAATTTCACCACAGAAACACTCAAAAAAATTTAAAGTGCTGGCAATGCAACTCAACAGTATAGTCTTAAACCTGTTCCCTAGTACAACCAACACAATAAAACACAACACAACCAGCAAAACAAGAATGCTGTGGGAGTCTCTGCCTGTAAGGCTATCATTTGAAAAGTGAAGGCAGGAGATTCACAAGTTCAAGACCTGCCTAGAACATTGGGTATAATGGCTTATGACTGTAGTTTCCAGGAAAGAGAAGCAGCCAGATATCTTTGAGTTTGAGGTCACCTGGGACTAAACAGTAACACCCTATCTCAAACAAAACAAAACAGAAAAGCAGAAAAGAGCGGGTATATAGCTCAGCTGGTAGAGTGCTTGCCTAGCATGTGCAAAGCCCTGAGTTCTATCAGCACAACTGCATGAAACAGATGTGGGCTGTTCATCTGTAATAACAGCACTTGGAACGCAGAAGCAGGAGAATCAAAAGTCATCCTTAGCTACATAGTGAATTTGAGGACAGCCTGGAATACATGAGACTCTATCTCAAAAGAGACTAGTCTAGGTTACAAATCAAAACTCTGTCTCAAGAAACATCAACAACAACAACAAAAATGAGCGAGGGAAATGTTGGTTCTCTCTCTGTGTGTGTGTGTACATGTAAATGCCATACTATCATTCACACACACAGGAGGACAACTTGTTTTTAAGATTTATTTATACATGTACACACTCTATTTAAATGCATTCCTGCACGCCAGAAGAGAGCACCAGATCCCATTATAGATGGTTGTGAGCCACCATGTGGTTGCTGGGAATTGAACTCAGGACCTCTGGAAGAGCAGACAGTGCTCTTAACTGCTGAGCCATCTCTCCAGGCCCTGGAAATTTTTTGAAAGTAGTTTCTCTCTTTCCACCATGCATGTTCAAAGGAATGAACTCAAGTCATCTGGCTAGGCAGCAAATATCTTTACCCAATGAGCCACCTCACTGGCCCTAGCTAGGTATATTTGGTTTCACTGTGTGTGTGTGTGTGTGTGTGTGTGTGTGTGTGTGTGTGTGTGTGT